AGATTGGAAAGTGGTGGATCCAATTATACCTCTGAGAGATTTGACAGACTTCCCATACCCCTTCCCCCATCTTCAAGTTCCATGATCCCAAGGTCTTTGTATGGTCATGAGTAATATTTCATGTGAAAAAAATAAAATTAAAATAAAATTAGAGCTTGCATTTTTATAAACATTTAGAAGTTGAATTTTATATACTTGACCCAGCTATCGACCGTTGAAAAAAATAGAGCAGAAACGTTTCTACTCGGGTGAATTTGGGTGCTCCTGTAGTGGTCCGTACGTCACCTAAAATTGTGGCTTGTTAATGGACACAACTTTAGGAATTAATGGTGGTTGAGACGATCTTTATACCTTTTGAACAACATAAGTAAGAATTCCAGAAAAAAAACCAGAATTAAGGGTAAAGCACTCAAAAAAGTCAGAAGAAAAATCATGATCGTCGTGGGGGGAATAAGTCCGCTAAGTACCATCGCTATACAACACAAGGCTAAGAAAACTGAGCTTAAAAAAACGAAGTCAGATTTGCCTAAGAAAGGAGAAGACACGAAACCTTATTGATGCCCTTCAGCACGACCCTCCGGATCCTTCCCCCCTCCAAACCTCACCTTCTCCTTCATTGGTATCTAGGCAGTAACTACTGTCTCGTGATAGACCACACTGCTAAAATATGAGAAAGTCCTATCACGAGAACAGCCTATGGTTAGACCAAATCAATAATAGACTTTTAATCCTCATATCAGACGACTTCGAGGGCGCCCTCCAAATAACGACAATCCTCCCCTCCTAACCATACACAGGTCTTGATCATAGGAAATGCATGATTGCATTGACCTTCCGGAAAACAAGGGACCAGGGTCCCGCTTATTACAAATTAAACACTTCCCTACTTTAAAAAAAGCTAGGTTACCAGTCGTCCGATGGCCGGACGTCTCCCCCAACCGTCCGGTAGGGGGGTTGTCCGGGATCCCAGACAACCACTTTTTGGCATTAAAAAAAAATAAAAATAAAAATTATGACAGTGTTGCGCATTCCATAGAGACCCCCCATTAAAAAATTCAGAATTTTCTGAGCATCTGGTGATAGGGTGCTATTTGGGGTGGGAGGGGGGGGTACGAGGGGTTTTGGTGGGGACTAGAAACTTTGAAGATTTTTATCTTTTTTTCTACTGGCTCAATGTACCTTCCAGGGCATACTTGGCACCCGCTACCCAAGAGATAGACCACTGGATCCCCCGATCGGTATAGCAGAGTCCGCTGATGTTCATAGGGGAGGGGACCTGAGGGGAGGCACAGGAGATTGGTCCCTTGGGCTTTATCCCCTGATGCTACCGGCTGCCCCCTGGCTGGTATCGCCCACCTGCAGGTCGGGAGCAGCCCTCGCATGTTCTCTCGTGAACACGGTTCTGGCTGCTACGGGGTTCCCCGTATGCCTACAAGTAGTAGTGGAAGGTAGGTAGTGTGAGGTGAAATTGAGAGAAGAATATAGTCAAAAAAATAAAAATAAAAAAAATTTGGTGGCATACACCTTATGCAAGGTAGAAGCCACATGATTTTTTTCTTCTTCTTCTTTTTTTTTTTTTTTTTTTTTTTTTTTTTTTTTTTTTTTTTTTTTTTTTTTTTGCGCAGGTCGGACATCGCCTGTCCGGTCCGACGTCCGACCAGACGTCCGGTCGGACATCCCGGACGGTCAGGGGGTCCGGTCCGACGTCCGACCAGACGTCCGGTCGGACATCCCGGACGGTCAGGGGGGTCCCGGATGTCTGATAAAACAACATAGAAAAAAAGTTAAAAAAGTTAAAAAAACACAATTCAAAGCATACATAACGGATGTATGGTCTTATTGGTAAACTAAAAAGCCAGTAATAGAATCATAAAATAACTTGGTTTAATAATGGCTTATTCTTTCAAGCAAAAAAGTGTGAAGACTATTCAAAACTCCTAGCGACACAGAAAAATGAATAAGAAATGACTTTGTTTCCTCCATTTAAACCACCAGCACATTTCCCCGCTTGGAAGCTGGAGCGTGGCGGTTAACACCGAGAACTGATTCGGCCTCCTCCGCCGACCAGATCCATCGGCCGCATTGCTGCGTAGGCGAGTGCACTCATAGTCCCCCAGCCAGATGTGACTTGCCACCTCAGATTTGTCCAGCAGAACACTGTGGCTGCTCAGATTTGCTGCCTTGCTGAACTCAAAGAGGAGGTAAAGGTCGGGTTAGTGCATTTGGTGGCGCTGTGGCTGCTCCCTTCCATCCGTACTACCGCCCTGGCTTCTGCTGCAAAAGTTTTGGGGAAGAACTCCACTTGTTTGGCGAAGATTGCCTCCCTCTCCTCCTTATCCTCCGAGCATGCCAGAAACTCCCATCCCTGTAGCGTGAGCCCCCATTTCTTCTCGCCGCCTCCTACCGGGGATAGAACCACCTCCCATATCGGGGAACTCCACCTGTCCGGCGTCCGCCTTGGCACACTGGGATTACCAGAACCCCTTCCTTCTTGGAGAAAGGCTTCACATATAGCCCCGCTCAAACAGCTGACAGTGTCTGATCTTCAGACGCTTGGACACCAGACCATCTAGCAAGGCGGTTTTGTGCTCCTCCATCCGCTGCAGTGCAGGCTTAGATGGGTTGGTGTTTTCTAAAGGGGGGGGGGGGGGGGGGGGGGGGCAGAGGTCCTGCTAGATTGGCAGGTCTCTGCGGAGGCTGGAAGTGGGCCCTAGTAATTGCTACAATATGCTCAAAGGCCTCTGCCCAGGTTATATGTGGTGGCGGCCCCATTGCAAGTGCTCCTCTAATTGTCGGGCTGTTATTCAGGAGACTGAAAAGTTGGACATATGTTGTGTCCCATAATTCCTGTTCCATTTGTGAATGCTAGGGATCCGCAAGTCCCTGTGGATCTGGAAGTGGGCCCTAATAATTGCTAGAATACGTTGGAAGGCCTCTGCCCATGTTATATGTGGGGGCGGCCCCATTGTAGTGCTCCTCTAAGTGTAGGGCTGTTATCCAGTAGACTGAAAAAATGGACATCTGTTGTGTCCCATAATTCCTATTCCATTTGTGGATGCTGGGCTCTACGGAGATAGACTAGGGAGATTGCAGATTGCAAGATGACAAATCACACAATTTCACACATGCCAGCGCACGCAGTTATGGTAGCCCCAAAAACAACAGTATTTATTTAGCAAATGCTTCAGCACAAGGTGCGAATGCACGAATCAGCAGTCTAAGGAGATAGACTAGGCAGTCTGTGATCGTCCGGATCTTGAGATCCATGTCCATTTCTTCCCGTGGTGCATCTGGATATGGTTGGCAGTCCGTCATGGCTGCGTGGGGGTGGGAGGGGTGGGGGAGGAAATCCACTTCCATGGGTTGAGGCCCAAAAGGGTCTGAGAAGGGGTCAGTTGTCTGTGCTTTAGCCTGTTGATATGAAGTAGAGCCACCACCTTTCCACTAGGGGGTAGTGACACCAGCACCTCCCCCTACTAGCCCCTAGTGGTCCTACAAAAAAGAGTGACAGTCCTCAACTGACTTGAAAACTGAGGTACTAGGTTTTCAAATGCGTAATAAATGGGGTACCTTTATAATAAAAAAACAAGAAAACTGAGGTAGGTTGGAGAGAGGATCTGGTCTTTTTTTTTTTTTTTTAAGCCCTCACCTTTCCACTAGAGGGAAGTGATATGAGCACCTCAAAAAAAAAAAAAAAAAAAAAAAAAAAAAAAAAAAAAACCCCCCCCAAAACTACCAAAAAAAAAAAAAAAAAAAAAAAAAAAAAAAAAACAGGGGGAA